GGAGAGAAAAGGATAGAAACTAGTATATTCCACTTTCCCAAAGGGGCCGGATGCAGAGTTGCATCAGTCCTGAAAGCTGGAGATCAGAAGCTCTGACCGGGTTTTGAAGGCAAGGGGTTTATGGTTGGCTAATTAGGGTGATCCGGGGACAGGATGCCCATTGATCTTTCACATTCTCCGGACGAATTCATCAATGTCTTTAGTTGTCATATCTGACCATTCTGATCCCCCAGGTATTTGGGTGTTTGTTGTTTTAGAGTCAGCAAGAGATGGGTTTCAGTCTCCATATTTGTAGGCAGAGACTTAGAAAACCAAGTCAGCCATCTGCGGTGAGGTCAGAGAGGGGGACAGCTAGCCCCAGAACCAAAGGGAGGAAGAGAAAGCGAAAGAATGGCTGAAGCACTTGGGAGTTTTAACTTGCCTCCCTTTAAGGCATCAGAGTAGCACTGAATCATCCCACTGCCAGGGAGACCCAGAGACGCTGAATCAGCCCTTTCCAGTCCTCAAGGTGCTTGGGAGACTTTTAGCCCTCTCCGTTTGCTCCGAGTAACTGATGTGGAGGGCAGGCCCACACCCGCCTCCATTGTTCAGCCCAGGTCCTGCAGCAGAGACGCCAACCATGAGTATTTATTTATTTATTTATTACAACTGACCGGGGTAACTGATGGGGGGGGCAGCCCCCCCCCCGCCTCCATTGTTCAGCCCAGGTCCTGCAGCAGAGCACCACAGAGAAGCCAACCATGAGTATTTATTTATTTATTTATTTATTACAACTGAGTTGGCCTCCCTCTTCTCTTTGTGCCTTTTGCTGTTCCCCTTTATTAAGATGAAAGGGGTTTTTAGATCTTTGCAGGCGCAGAGCGTGAGCTGTGTGTGTGTGTGTGTGTGTGTGTGTGTGTGTGTGCACAGGAGGCCCAGAGCTCCCTTCCTCTCCGCCCCTCTCCCCCCTCTCCCTAGCCCAGCTGGGGCCCAGGCATTGTGTCAGGTACCGCCTAAGCCTAAGCTTAAGCCGCTGGGGACAGGGTGGAAGAACAGCCTGGGATTTCGTTGTGTGGGAGCCAGAATCCCAGGAAGCCGGGACGTGGGTAAGAGGCCATGGGCCGGGAGGCTGGGTGGGGCGTTGGGGCCATCATGACCATGGGCACGTCCTGGGGGCCCACCTACCCGGGTGCCCTAGGGATAGGTAGAGAGCTCTGGCCAGGCTGTCTTTCTGAGCTGGTCTCTCTTTGTTCCCAGCCTGGAACTAAAAGGAAGGTGCCGCCTGGCCTGGCACTGTACTTAATTCCTTCCAGCCCCAGTTCATCTGAAAAAGAGAAGTGGGGACTCAGTGTGACTGACCAGGGGCAGGCTTTGTTCCCAGCGGGTTTTCCTGTGTGTTTACTCTCTGCCTCTGCTCCACCCCTCCTCCCTCGCCCCTCACCCTAGATCTAGCCTGCTGTGCGTTGTTTGGAGCCTCCTTCCCACCAGGGCAGCCTCCCCTCCCCTCCCTCTCACCCAGTGGTTTTGTCTGAGCGCTGACTGCTCTGCCTGGAGGTAGGGGGTGCCCAGAGCACAGGGTGGACCGAGAGAAAGGGGACAGGTTTGGGGAAGAGGTAGGGGGTGCCCAGAGCACAGGGTGGACTGAGAGAAAGGGGCCAGGTTTGAGGAGCCTTGGCCTGCCCTGCCCTGAGACAGGTGTCTTGTTCTCTGTGTACCTGCCCTTGTGGCAAGATGGGGCCCCCAGGGGCAGGGAGAGTCTATTCCGAGGAAGAGGTGCCCAAGCTGAGCCAGCGCTTGGCAGGCCCCTGTGATTTCAGGTGTAGAAATCCGAGGTGGGAATCCCAGCCATCAAGCTCAAGGGAGGCCCTTGTGTGCACTCGCTGTGAGAAGCTCCTCTTTCCTGGGGATGGCCAGCTTGCAGAGGCCTTCTGAAAGTAGGTGTCCCCCCGGCTTGCATGGTGTGAGCGTGGGCCCCCAGGATGGTGAGTGTCCTGAGCTCAGTGAGCAGGCCTGTGCCACGTGCCTTGGGAAATGTAAAGACCAAGCAGACCCTGCCCATGCCCGGAGGAGCTTACAGCTGAGGAAGGGATAAAGGGGGGGGACAGGACCAGGACGGAGGCAGATGATGACAAAGCAGGAGGGTGTGCACCAGGGAGACAGTGGGACCTGGAGCGCAGTCCATTGTGTGACCCTGAGGGACTACTAGGCCACTCAGGCCTGGGGATCCTGCCTGTGAGAGGGGCTGATGGACTGTACCCCCAGGGCGCTGTGTGGATTAAAGGAGCTAATTAACTAGGATGGAGGCCTGGGGAAGGCCTGCTTGGTGCCTGCTATGTGCTGGGCACATCTGTGCCCACGCCTCACCTACGTGAGGCACCAGACGTCTGCCTGGTGAACTGGCTGAATCAGTATGTCCGTCTCCCTGCCTTTGTTCTTCTGTCCCTTCCAAGAAAGAGGAATCGGGGTGGGGAGAGGCTGTGAAGCCTCCTTGGAAGTGGTTTCTGAGATTGCCTTGCGGGAGGACAGAGGCAGGCTTGGGTCAGCGGAGAGCTGAGAGGCATGGACTTTGCCAGGGAATAGTGGGGATGCAGGAATCCCTGGGGGACAGCAGATGATCTGGAGCACCTGGGCCAGGCAGGGAGGGCACTGGGGGTCCCCTGAAGCTGGCTGGAGCCAGGCCTTTGTGAAATGGAAACAGGACTCCACTGATGTGGGGAAGGGAGACCTCCAGACTGGGGGGGAGGGGCAACCTAGGGGGCTGGTATTAGGGAGGGCTCAGAGGAGCTGATTGCAAAGGTCTGTGCTGTCCTGGCCAGGATGTGCGAGTTTGGCTCGTGTGGAATCCCCAGGCTCTGGTGCAGGGCAAAGGCCGGTCAGAGATGGCCGGGAAGACTGGAGGTACCTGAGCAGAACCAGAACCAGGAAGGACGTCTGGGAGAAGCCTTGTGCATTGGTCTCCTAAGGCTGCCATGACAAATGACCACAAACAGGAGGAAGAGCTTCAAGATTTACTCTCACAGTTCTAGAGGCTGAAGTCCAAAATCAAGGTATTCACAGAGTCAGGTTCCTTCTGAATGCTCTAGAGGGGCCTTGCTCTCCGGCTTCTGCTGGCTCCAGACGTCCCTTGGCTGTGGCACCATTGCTTCCATCTCTGCCTCGAGGCCCATCCCCTTCTCAGTCTGTCTTCTCTTTCTGGGTCTCTCCATAAGGTTGCTTGTCATTGGATTTAAGGCCCACCAGGTAATCAGAATGTTCTCCTGATGAGATCCTTATTGGAAAGACCCTCCTTCCAAATAAGGTCACACTCACAGGGTCCGGGTGTAGCATAAGGACATATTTTCCAGGGCCACCATCAGCTCACACAGTGACTGGATTTGAGGAGCCCTGAAGGTGGGTGTGGGCGGTATGGACAGGACTCGGGGCTCTCAGGGAGCCCCTTCCTCACCAGCGTCTGTTCTGCTCCTGTCATCCTTCTCCTCACCTCCCTGTCCATAGTCCAGACGTAGGCCCAGGCCTCGGTCTCTGTCACGGGTGCTGTGATTCCACGATGTCTTGTGGCTCAGGGTCTCTGCTGTGGGGGAATCAGCCAGGGCCGCTGGACAGAAGAGCACCCATCCTCCCTCGGAGGCCAGTGGCTTCCCTGCCTGCTCCATCCTCTGCTTCCTACTCCCCATGGGACGCCGATGGACAGGCAGGAAAGGGAAGGATGTGGCTCTCCCAGCCAGTGTTGGCAGGGTCCAGGCCGCTGTCCTTCCTGTGCCTTGGCGAGGTGGCCACCTTCATGACCTCGGTCCAGAGGATGGTGTTGGTATCCTGGTAATTTTGGGAAACCTTCTCTCTTCCGAGAGTGAAACTTAGTGCTTTCAGCAGAGTGACCAGGTACCTCCTGAGTCCAGCCGGTGTGTCTCATGCGGGCAGCAGCTCATGAGGAGAGAGGGCTCCTGCCCAGTGTGTTCTCGCCCACTGGGCAGGCATGTGGGTAGGGAATCTCCTCTCCTCTCTCTCTCTCTCTGTCTTTCTCCCCCACCCTCACCAGCATCCAGTCTTAACCCCTGGGTCCTCTCCCCCATGCAGTCTGGGCCTCCTGTGGGTTAGGGCAGGGGCAGTGGGGGCTGCAGTTTTCCAGTCCTTGGGACCACAGGCCTGACTCTATACTGAACACTCCTTAGTGCCTGGTCTAATTCTCTTTTCTTCCAGTCCCTGGAGAAGCTGTGAGGGAGGGAGAAACCCGTTCTGGCTGTGCATAAAGCCCCCAGCACAAGCTGGCCAGAGCTGGCCCTGAGACCTGCCCGTCGGGATCATTGTTCCCAGTGTGGCTGAGCAGGCTGGGAGGCCCTGGAATAGCCAGGACTGTGAAGAGAAAGGCTGAGGCAGGGGGGGGCTGTCTCAGTAAGGTCTGGACCCCGAGGAGATAGACTAGCTGAGTAGTTGCTGAGGGGGGAGAGTGAGGAGAGTCCCAGGGAGGTGCTGGGGTTAGAGTCAGGGATGCCTTGAGGGACATTATATGGGGGCTGGGGATCAATGGACAGGAGAGAAGAGGCCACGGCAGCATGAGGGGGCCGCAAACTGGGGCCCACAGTCTCGGGGGCCACTAGCCTACCTTATTTTTGACTTTTAAAGAATTTTGAAATAGCAGCCAACATTTAAAAATTGGGGACCAGCAGATGACATAATGGCTACGTCACTGGACTCCCATGTAGTCAACCGCTGTTCAAATCCTGGACCCAGTGGCTTAACTCACACCAGGTGCATGTTTGTGCATGCCCAAGATCCCAAGAGGAGAATGGAGGAGAAGGGATTGTGGCGTGACCATCCCCCCTGGGGGGTGATTTCTCACTTTCTGTCTCTCTGTCTCTCTCTCTGTCTTTCTGGCAAGTGCATGCTCCCTATAGCAAAAATCTCTCAAAGAAAAAAAAAAATTGGAGGACCTTGATCAAATCCAGCTTACTGACTTCTCTTTGGGGGGAAAAAAAAAGATCTTGCCATGCAGGTGTATGACATGGTGGTGCTCCCTTCCACAGAGCATGTGTCATCTGGTGACCACCCTCCTCAGGCCTTGGGTCTCCACCACAGCCCCAGGCGCTTGGTCGTATAACCCCAATCCCCAGGAAGAGAGGAAGGGAAGGAGCCCCGTGCCAGCAAGGGCGGCAGGTTCCAGGAGGTAGGCCTGGCTGTATTCTGAGAAGGTCCTGTCAACTGGGGGGGATGGAGGTCACTGGGGCATTTTGGGGTGCTGCAAAGATGTTGAGATGAGGGGGCACTGAGGGCCTAGAGCCGCACCCTTTCTACCTACTTTCTCAATCTTCCTTCCTCTTTCCTCACTTCCTTTCTATGTCTGCCCGTCCCTCTCCTACCAGGGCTTGAGCCATGCCTTTGCCCAGTTCTCCACCCTCTCTCACTGCTGCTCCACCTCCCTCATAATTCCTCCTCATCCCCATTTAAAGTAACAAGAGACTCAGGGACCAGCAGTTAGCGTAATGGCTATGTCGTTGTGGTTTGAGTCCTGGGACCGGCGGCTT